GCGACTGGCTGAGCTCCCATCTCGCCCGCAGCATGTCCAGCGTGGCCGCGCAGACGTCCTGGCGAAGCACTGTATTCACATCATGCCCTCGCTGCGCTGCCCTGCCGCGGGGCCCTTTCTGGGGCTGCGAGGGCGGAGCAGGGGGGCCCCCGCCCGAGTCTCCCAGGTGACTCGCCCTCGGAGGGGCGGCGCGTGCTCCACCATGATCTCGCGAAGCAGGCTGATGTGGTAGCTCCCGCTGCATCTGGCGCATGACGTCCTGAATGGCTATGGCGACCGAGCGGAAGTAGCGCGCCTCGCTGCCCGCAGCTGGGCGCGGCCCTCGCCCCGGACCTCCCATCGGTCGCCAGACGTACTTGGCTCCAGCTGCTCGTCCTTGATGCTCAGCAGGACTGTCGACCTGATAGATGCGCCCCAGATCCTGCTCGACGTGATCGAGGAGCGTGGCATGCAAGTCATTGGGCCTGCTTTGCGCCTGCACCGCATCTCCTGGTGGTCCGAGCGCCGCATCTCGCTTCGAAATCAGCTGGCGACTGGTTCCAGTCCCCCCCGGCGATGAAAGGCAGGTTGAGGTATCGCAAATGCTCCGCCACATGATAGAATCGCATGGGGTTCGCGCCTACGTAGTTGGCGCTGTGACAGGATCCCATATAAACAGAGCCAATCAAAATGCCCCCTGGGAGTCCGAGGTCGGCATGAACCAAACATGGCCACGACCGAAGCACCTCGAAGCTGGTGTGGCTCGACGGACCTTGGAGCAATGTAGTCTGAACATTTGCTCAAACGAAAATGCCAACTCCTGCGCTCGGGAATCCTGTGCTCAACCTTCGGCACGGGGTGATGTAGGGAGCCCATCCGTGTGAGATCGCCCAGCATCGAGCTCGCTCCAGCTGTTCTCCATCCAGTCGTAGCTCTTGAGCCGCCACTATCTTGGCTTCCCCTGCACCTTCACTCAAAAACGCTTGGCAGCAAGTCCCGCATGACCCATTGAAGGTGACGAAACCAGTGGTCTGGCGGCGTGAGCCTCTCTTGCCACGTACTCTACATCGCCCCTGCCAACTCCCACGCCTGCGCGTCTGGCCCTGTGAGAGGTCGAAAAGGAGCGGCCTGCCCTGGCGGAGTGGCAGGCGATGGGGCAGCTGGAGCTGGTGCTTGAGCAGGTCCCAAGCTGCGTGCCAAGGCATCCATGACGTCTGCGGCGACCGACTGGCGATCCCCTTCTTCTTGTACTGCTCTCTGGGCCATGGCGAACATCTGCTGCAGGTGGACCATGGTGGCGTCCGTTGACTGGGCCCCGCGCTCCTCCGCGGCTGCGGCTGCCACTGCCGTCTGGGCCTGGCAGACCTCCGCCTTGATGGCTGCCGCCTCGCTCTCCAGGGTGGCCAGGCGCTTCTTGCCGTCGCTGAGCTTTGCCTCCAAGTCATTGACGAGATGCTCCTGCTGGTCGCGCTCTGCCTCCTTAGCCGCGTATCGATCCTTGGCGCTGCGGAGCAGGTCGTCGGGGGCCATGCTGGCCCGCGCCTTGGCCTCAGCGGCCGCGAGCTCTGTGCGCGCCAGCTGGACCATGCTGTGGTCATCGTCGTACAAACGGCGGAGCTGGGCGAGGGCCTTCGTGCATTTGACCACTTCCGAGGCAGGCTGTGGTGTGAGCTTTGTGCCGTCGTCCATGGCGGTGTCCGCATGCCAAGGAGCACGACGTGCAGCAGTATCGTCACGAGGACGCGAAGGCTGGCGATTGCGACGACGCGGCGCCTCCTGCCAATGCCCTGCGTCTGCGGTCTGGCGCCCATCTCGGTCGCGGCCACACGCCCAACACGTTGAGCGCGACGGGTAGGTGTGCTTGAAGCCGCACAACCGCGTGGCCTTGCACGCCCAGGCCGCCTCGCCGAGAGAGCCCATGAGGCCGCCCACTGGGTGGTCGCCGTGATGTTCTGCGAGGAGGCGCCGAGCCTCGGCCTCGGCCAAGACCAGGCGAGCGCTGGCTCGCCTCCGCCGCAGTCTCCTATGCCAGGCGGGAGAGGGATCGCGGCGCGCGGCGATCCACCTGGAGGAGGAGGAGGAGGAGGAGGAGGAGGAGGAGGAGGAGGAGGAACACGAAGAGGAGGAGGACGAGGAGGAGGAGGAGGAGGAGGAGGAGGAGGAGGGGAGAGAGGGACGACGACGTGGACCTCCAATGTCCTGAGCAAGCCGAAGCAGTTCCCCCCCAACATTGCGGAGGGGCTCCTGTTGTGCATTCTCATGGGGGAGGTCTGGGGGGGGCCCTCGAAATCTAGCCTGGGCCACGGGCGGAACGCCGGCGGAGCCTGGCGGAAGTCCTGCGGCACGCGGCTTGAGGCGACACGGGCGGCCTCTGAAGGCCCCGGATCGCCTCCAAGACGCTGCCGACAAAGATCACCCAAGATAGCCGCAAGGTGGCCTAGGACGGCCTCGAGAAAGCTTAAGAAGCCCGACAAAGTCGCCCAGGAGGGCTCCCATAGGACCTCTAGGAGGGCCCCCAAAGGCTGAAATCATGGATTTCCGTTCGGTTTTCAACGGAGTTTGGAGCCCTCGAATTCCCGGGCTGCCGACTGTCCACGAATGCCCTGGAGGCCTCCGAGATTCCTCCAAGCTGGCCCCAAGATTGCCCCACGACTGTCCACGAATGCCCAGACGGGCTGCCGACTGTCCACGAATGCCCCAGGAGGGCCCGGAGACGGCCCCAGAGGGCCCAAGAGGTCCCCCAGAGCGTCCTGGAATGCCCCAAGAGGACCTCAAGGCGGCCTGGAGAGGCCCCCAAGAAGCCCCCTAAGAGGCGCATAGCCCCCCACACATACGCTGCAAGGAGGCCCCCAAGAGGCTTCCAGGACGCCCACCACGCCCGCACTTTGCACGCTCCGCGCGCGCACCCCGCAAAGCGAGCGGAATCCCCAAGAGGCCCCTCTGAGAGCACACGAGCTTCCGAGAGGCGACTCTCAGGAGCGGCCCGAGACGCCCGACAAGGCTTTCCTGGGGAAGGGGGAGGCGGTGGCAAGCCAGCCCTGGGGAAGGGGGAGGCGGTGGCAAGCCCCGCGCGCGTCGCGCGCGCGCGGGCGCGCGAGGGCGCCGCCGTCGTCGTCGCCGTCGTCGCCGTCGTCGCCGCCGTCGCCGCCGCCGCCGCCGCCGCCGCCGCCGTCGTCGTCGTCGTCGTCGTCGTCGTCGTCGTCAGCGGCGGCGGCGGCGTCGGCGTCGGCGTCGGCGTCGGCGTCGGCGTGCGGCGTGCGGCGTGCGTCGTGCGGCGTGCGTCGTGCGTCGTGCGTCGTGCGTCGTGCGTCGTGCGTCGTGCGTCGTGCGTCGTGCGTCGTGCGTCGTGGTCGGTCGGCCGTCGTCGTCGTTCTCGTCTCCGTCGTCGCGCGTCTTCGGTTGTCCGTCGTTTGCCGTCGTAGTCGCCGTTGTCCAGCGTCGACGCTCCCGCAGTCGTCAACCGACGTCGCCGCCGCCGCCGCCGCCGTCGTCGTCGTCGTCGTCGTCGTTTGACGTCGTCAGTCGAAAATTCTTTGGACGCTTCTGGCGGCTCCCGTCGCCACGGCGAGACGCAGCTCGAAAAACTGGCCAGGATGGACCCCCGGATTGGTCTGGAGACTGAGGTTGAGCGGATTTTTGTCGTCGTCGGTCGTCGTCGCCGCCGCCGTCGCCGAAAGCCGTCGAGGGCCGCCGAAAGCCGCCGAGGGCCGCCGAAGGCCGCCAAGGGCCGCCGAAAGCCAACGAGGACCGCTGAAGGCCACCGAGGCAGAGGAGGAGGATGAGGAGGAGGAGGAGGAGGAGGAGGAGGAGGAGGAGGAGACGGGGGAGGAGGAGGAGGAGGAGGAGGCAAGGAGGAGGAGGAGGCGGCAGTAGGACGTGAAAAGAGGAAGGAAGGGGAGGAGGACAGGAGGAGGAAGTGGAGGAGGAGGACGAGGAGGACGACGAGCAGGAAAAAAACAGGACCAGCAGCAGGAGGCGGAGCTGGCAACTGGATCAAGCACATCGGGAGCCCACTAAGCAGAACAGAAGCCCACTTAGCAGGAGCACGACTTTCCTCTCTCACCGGTCCCTCCGTCGTGCGGGTCGGCGCTACAACGCACGTGCGCATCTCAGCGTGCACCGTAGAATGGTCTGTTGAATCAAACCACTTGGTTCTCGGACGGCCAATTCTGCGGGAGCCTTCTGGACGCAGATGGAAAGAGTTACGCTGATGCGGGAGGACGCGGGAGGACTTGTAGAGTTCATCGGCGCTCCTGTTCCCAGAAAGACAACTATTATATAAAAACAAGTGTTTTCTGTAGAACCCCCAAGCGCTCCATTTTGTCAGAAGGATTCCTTCTGACACTCTACATATACAACAGTAGTGCTATGTTGCACACGGTTGCTGTGGTGCAGACAAGCGCCGTGGTGTTCACAAGCGCTGTGGTGCACGCAGGCGCTTGGTGTACCCTGGTGTTGTGTTGCACACGGCTGCTGTGGTGTACGCAGGCGTTGTCGTGTACACAGGTGCTGCGGTGCACGCAGGGACTGTGGTGCACACTGGCACTGTGTTGCACGCGGCAGCTATGGTATACATAGGCGGTGTGGTGTACACGCGCGCTGTGGTGCACGCAGGCACTGTGCTGTGCAGAGGCGCTGTGGTGCAGATCGCCACCTACAAGCTGCTGTTGCCCGTCCTCGGTCATTCCAAAGCATTCCCAGACGCAGCCAGCGCGAAACGTGACGTCATCGGCCCCCTCCCCTCCCCCTTCCCCTATATGACCGCCGTTATCGGCCCAGAATTAAAAACAGGCTCCACCTCACTTCTACTTCCGCTACCTTCCGCCAGCCTTCTGCTGGCTTCCGCTAGCAGACTCGCCGCTGTTCTGCTTCCACTAGCTTCCGGTAGCCCTTCTGCGGGCTTCCGTCGAAGGCGAGGGCTCCGAAGGCGAGGCCCATCTGGAGCAAGCCATATGGCGGGGAAGGTCGTGGCCTCCACCCTCGGCCAACGAAGACGGCCATGTTTTCCTCCCCCCCGGCTCCTATGGCGAGGAGGATCGACAGGCTCCGCACCGCGCCTCTGGCGGTGCGCGGCAGCAGAACGCGCGCCTGCATGGGCCTCGCGCGGGCCAAGAGGGCGGACGGGGCGCGGCGCGGTGACGAACGTTGCGCTCGCCGCCCTCCGGACTCGAGGCGAAACGGCTACGAAGCAGCCTCCAGCAAACTCGCGGATCTCCCGTCTCCTCCCCCCCGCCTGCCAAGCTTTCGACACGACCCTGGAAGGTCGAGGGGGAAGGTCTTCGGACGTTTCTGGCCACAGTCGGACCTCTCGAGGTCACCAGAGCCTTCCGGGGATGTCATGAGACCTCCATGAGCCTCCGGAGACCCTGGGGGGCCTCCAGGGATCAGGATCTTGGATGGGAGCAGAACTTCCCCCCCCCCCCGCCCCGCCCATCCTCCTCGTCCTCCTACGTACTTCTGCTCCGCTCACGTCTGCCCCTGTGCGGAAATGGCCGTTCTGATCCACCTCCTCCTGCTCCGCCTCCTCCTCATCATCATCAACCTGCTCCTCCTTCTTCTCCTCGTCGTCCTCGTCCTCGTCCTCCTCCTCCTCCTCCTCCTCCTCCTCCTCCTCCTCCTCCTGCTCCTCCTCTCCTCCTCCTCCTCCTCCTCCTCCTCCTCCTCCTCCTCCTCCTCTGCCACATTCTCCTCTCTCCGTCCTCCCTCCTCCCCTCTTCTCTCCTCCTCCTCCTCCCCCTCCCTTTCTCCTCCTCCTTGACCTCCACCTCCACCTCCAACTCCCCTCCTCCTCCCCTCCCTCCTCCTCCCTCCCTCCCTCCCTCCCCGTTCGCCGTCCAGTCGCCTATTATGGGGGGTAGTACGGAGAGGTGTGATGTGGTTTGGGAGGGCCTGGACTCCTTGCTTCGGTTCGACGCGTTCCGTCCGCTCTGTCGCGGGGGTCCCCTCGTACTGTACTGTACTTGTAGACTTGGTGCCCGTGCAGAGTTTGCGAGCCTCGCCGTTTAGCATAGCCACACGAGTTGACTGTGCTGACCGCCTCTGCTAGCCGCAGCGCCGCCATCAGCTGACAGGCCATACGCTTCATCAGCAGCGCAATCCAAAAATCCTCCTCCTCCTCCGCCTCCTCCTCCTCCTCCTCCTCCTCCTCCTCCTCCTCCTCCCTCCC